GCGGGCTCCCCGGGCTTCTCGGTGCACTTTGTGCCGTGGTTGTTCCGTAAATAGGACGAGTGCAGATGTACGCAGTTATTTTTTCCTAGTTAAAGTCTATGATGCAGTTAAAATCCACAGGGATTTTTTTTCTTGTTTACAGGATTAAGCTCTCCGTTATTTGATGTTTATTCTTTCTGTATTTTTATAGAAAAATGGAAATTGCCACTCCTCCAACGTCGAAGTGTATTATATACTGGAAAAGAAAAGTCAAGTCTGAATATATGCGTCTTCGGCAGCTCAAGAGGTTCCAGGCGAACATGGGAGCTAAGGTAAAGACGTAACGACGGTAGCGCTAGCTGAAGGGATGTCTCCTAAAGGCTTCGCTTTACCTTGTGTTTGAGCAGCTGTCGGACGGGCGCTTCATCCTGCGAATTGCAAAGCTATATTTTCCTTGTAAGCTGGATAAGTTTGAAGAGATACTACTTCTGCTCATGGTCCATTATTAGCCTGGAGCCGTGCAGTCAGCGTCTGTTGCAGAGACAGAGAAGTCTGTTGGCTGAGTGCTTGCACAACTGCAGCATGAGGACTCATTTCCACTTGTTCCCACTTGTTCTTTAAAGTATCTGCTTGCTTGAACCCTCTCAGTGCTGGTGGGTTTCAGGTGACTTACTCGGATGCTCCTCTCCTCGGCAGGCGGGATTTTGGAAGAGGTTGGCTGGGATCAGGAGTTATCAAAAGCTAATGGCTGTCGGGTAGATGTTCAGCACAGTTTTGTACCAATGCTGAGTTTAATTAGAACTTTTCTAATGAGTATCATCAATTTGAAATGCTCTGCCTTGCATACGTTTTTATACTCGAAACAAAATCTCAGAAGGTGTTTCAGTGTTCTCAGCATGATTTCTTAAATTTTGAGTGCTTCTTTTTCTCATTTCAGGCTCTGTTTGTGGCCAACTTTGCAAAAGTTCATGAAAAGACTCAAATTCTGAATGAAGACTGGAAGAAGCTTCGAGTCCAGCCGGTGCAATTGATGAAGCCAGTCAGCGGGCACCCGTTCCTAAAACAGGTGTGGAGAGAAGAGGGGCACGGCAGCAGTAAGGGCGGACTAGAACTGGGGCTTTGCAGGTAGCTGTGAGGATACGGGATTGTTTTTTGTGTGTGCTGTCCTATGTCAGTGTCAGGCCATGCCTCGCACTCTTGTGGGATACAGAAATGGGGGGAAAAAAACCCAAAACCAACCCAAGGCCTTTCCTGTGAAGAGGTCCCAAAGAGTGAATGCAGGGCTTCACTGTGTTTGTCTGAAGTGCGATTTCCCTCTGGCTGTGGCTGCCTCCCAGGGGCTGTTTGCTCACTGCCCTTCTCTGTACTCGTATTCCAGTGCACTGTTGAGAGCATTTTCCCGGGATTTCCAAGCCAGACGCTGTACATGAGGACCCTGAACACGGTGGCGCTGGTGCCCATTATGTACTCCTGGTCCCCTCTTCAGCAGAATTTCATGGTATGTAGGAAGGCTCTGGGGCACGAGGTCTTGGTGTGATTAGTGTGTAATTGTTACATGCTTGTGGAGTGATTATACTTTCTTGAACCCACTTGTTTCAAGTGATGTCTGCTCGAGAGATGATGGAAAGTATTGTTTTAGTTGCTTGTTTTGCTGAATCCCATAAAACAGCCTTGTATCCACGCTGTCTTACCCAGCTAGTCTCTCCTTTACACCTGACTCCTTGATAGGGCCACCATTATTTCACAGGATTCAAGGAGTAAATATGGTTTTGGGTTTGTTTTTTTTTCTCCATAAGATTTTTCTTCCCTTTTAAATGAAGAGTTTTATTTCTTAGGCCGGTCCTTTGTGACTGGATTACCCTGCTGGCCTCGTTGTAAGGATGCTACTGAGGATCAGTTCCTCTATCATAGTAGTGTGGGGAGTGATTTAAATGCAGATTTTGGTGTGGCGTAGTTAAGATTATTTGTTAAACACACGGGTGGTCTGTGGCTAGCCTGGCTCTCCGCCTGGTGCGGGGTGTGGATGTGTTCCTGCAACCTGCAGGGCTCTCTGAAGCCTCCCGTAGCAGACTGGGGGAGCGGAGTGACACCAGCGACTGTAATGCAAAGAGCCGGTCGGTGTGCCATGGCAATGAAGGCCCAATGTCCTGGCTCCTGTGGTTAAGGCAAGAGTGCTCCTCAGCTTTGGCTGTGCTCCTTCAAGGAGTGAGTTACCGGTTTGCCTTTCACTGTTCAAGTTCTACTCTGCCTTGAACACAATCTCTCTGGCATTTTTTGGCTGTTTATTATTCTTGGCAACGTGTGTGTTTCTGAGACTCTGTAAGCCTTGGAGGCACAGCTCTTCTTTTTTTAAAGCGAATTGCACTTTCAGGGGTCAGAGTTATGCTGCTGGCATGGGATAACAATGAAATGATGGTGATGAGACATCTGAAACTGCAGCCAGGGAGGCCGAACCTTTGCTTTGCACTGTGTTGTCTGGGGGTCTGAATGGACAGGAGCAGCCTCGGCGACACGGCCTGGCTGAGAATCGGCAAGTGCTGGTTTTCTGAATTGTACCTGGTCTCTTTTCAGGTGGAGGATGAAACTGTTCTGTGCAATATCCCTTACATGGGAGATGAGGTGAAGGAAGAAGATGAAACTTTCATTGAAGAACTTATTAATAACTATGATGGGAAGGTTCATGGAGAGGAAGGTAACCTGGGAGCAGTCAGCACTGTCCGTTCAGGCTCTTGCAAATAACATATCAAAGTAGTTAAGAAGTCAAAAGGTGGCAGCAGTAACCAGCTTTTCTGTGGGAGCTCTTAAAGCAGAAAAACAGGAATGTGCCTGCTCTTCTAGTTTGCAAAGACACGGTCCTGTCTTTTGATATCCTGCTCCATTCTAGGCCTGGGGTGCTCTGGAGCCTACGCTCTTGTTCATGGGGGTTCACAGGAGTGCCTTGGGGTGCTGAAAAATATGCTAGAGATTAGGAGGAGCTCAGCAACCTTGTTTCACTTGTGACCTTAGCCAAGACTTTAATCAGTCTTTTCCGAAATGAAAAGCCAGGGTGTTTCCCTGCAGTGCTGCCTACCCCATCATAAAACTCTGCCTGGAGGGAGGAAGGCAGTGGAAAACTCTGGTATGGCCTGTCCTCAGATTGCTAAAAATGATATACCGCTCTCATGACTAGCATTAAAATCCCACCTATCCCTACAAAATTGCGAGGCAGGTTCTAGTTGCTAACAGTGTCGTGTGGCTGGCTTGTGATTTACCACCATGAGGAATGCGAAAGATGATGGCACACCCACAAACTGGCTGACATCTCTGTGTTTCAGAAATGATTTCAGGGTCAGTCCTCATCAGCGATGCCGTGTTCCTGGAGCTAGTGAACGCCCTGAATCAGTACTCGGACGAGGAAGAGGAAGGACACAATGATTCTGAGGTTAAACAGGAGGATGGGAAAGAAGAGCTGCCGGTCACAAGGAAAAGAAAGCGAATTGCAGTGGAAGGTGGGTTTGGCCACAGAAATTGGGGCTGTGTCTGTCACATTTCCATCCTGCCCTGCCTGAGTAGCTGGCCAGTGCTCTCCTGCCATCGCTCTTGGTTATTAATGTGTCGCTAAGGTCAGTGATCAGCTTGGCAAGTTCTGGTACGGTAGTCGAAAGCAGAAGGGAAGTTGTTCTTATTGTCCCCTGTGGACAGGGTAAGAAATCATCGGCTTAAAGTGTGGCGAGGAAGAATTTAGATGAGTCACCTGGAAAACCATTTCGTGGCAAGATTAGCAAAGCAGAGGGGTATTATCTGAGGAGGCTGTGGGATCTCTGCTCCCGGAGGTTTTAAAGTGCTGGTCTGGCAAGCATCTGTCAGTAAGTTTGTAGGTAGATGTGATTCTGCTGTAGGCCAGGGAGGTGGATCTTTTCAAATCCCTTCCAGACCCGTTTTCCATGTATTAGTGTTCCTCTTCCCTCTCCTGTGCCAGCTGGGGTTCTTGTGGCATAGAGGAAGCTCTGGTTTGTGGGATTTTCATGTGTCCTGCATGACCTTAGGAATGCTGACTGGTAGTTTCATCTTTGTCTTTGGTTTATAGTGATACGGGTAGCACAAATACCAGGACCTTCCGCAGATGTAGAAAAGCATTGTCTGCAAATCCTGCCTTGGTAAAAATAAATAGTAATACTCCTTAAGAAATTGTTAGTACTTCCATCAATACATTATGCTACTCTGAAAGTGGCAGAGTGCGCTGCATCTGGAAATGCCTTAGCCTAGTTGCAGGAGAAAAGGTTTATCCGTTGTATATGGGATTCCATTTCTGTCTCTTAAAATACAATCCTGAACACCTACCGGAGTTGCTCTCTGTGGAAGAAGGAAAGACATGTCCACATCCAGCTTAACTGAGGAATTCTCTCTCTTCTTTTTCTTAGGTAACAAGAAGTGTTCAAAGAAGCGGTTTCCAAATGACATGATATTCACTGCTATTTCTTCTATGTTTCCTGAATACGGTTTCCCAGATGATATGAAAGAGAGGTAGAAGATCTCTACTTAAGTTGTCTGTTACCTTTCTTAGCAACAATTGAAATCTGTATTTCAGAAAACAGCACTGTACTCTGACCAGAAAGTAAAGCTCAGGTGGCTGCAGGCACCGTGAGCAGAGTGGTTTTTGAGCATTAGAAACTTTAGTTTAGCCTCAAGGTATCTGGGCCAGAGTCCTACTGGCCCAGATAGTAATGTAGTCGTGTAAAATGTCCCAGATTAGGAAAGCATGCACATCTGTGGGCGTTTCTGTTTGTCGAATAGGTACCGAGAGCTCACAGAAGTGTCGGACCCGAACGTGCTGCCGCCGCAGTGCACTCCCAACATAGACGGGCCGTGTGCGAAGTCGGTCCAGCGGGAGCAGTCCCTGCACTCCTTCCACACCCTCTTCTGCCGCCGCTGCTTCAAATACGACTGTTTTCTGCATCGTAAGTGCAGTCTCGGCCGGACGCTTCCCTAGAGCCCTTTTCTCCTCATTTTTCCTCAGTGCTTCATACTTCTGTATGCCTTGCTTAGTGTCTGTGCTGCAGTCTTTAGAGGGTGGTGCCTCCCCGGAGTTTGCAGTGGAGCCTTAGGAGCTGACAGGTGCCCAGAAGCCTTTTGTAAAGACGGCTCCACTCACTTCCTCAAACGGATGGTAAACCGACCTGCGTGGCCGTCCCCTCTTTCTCACCATTGTTCAGCACGCCGCATTCGAGCCTCCTGGCAGTTTGTGCGAGAGATACTGCCGCAACTAGACTTTACCCTTGCTTTGCAGAAGCTCATCAGGGAAAGGCATGAATGTTTCACTTCCAAAGTCTGGACATGCCCCTGTGTTTTGTTGCCTCACGAACTTACAGCTTCTTCTTAGTCATGTTCCTGCGGTTTGTCCTGCCAAAGCCTTTTGGATACTGGTTAGCTGTTGGACCTGCTGTTTCCCAGGTCTAAGGGCTTCTTTGAAAAGTCACAGGACTCCTTCCAGTGAATTATTTATTAAAAGATATAATATTAAGATCATGTGGTCTTTTTTTTTTTCAGTCTGAAAGCAGATCTTTTTCCTATGACCTCTCCTTCCCAAATGTTCCCCCAGTGCTGCTGAGTCCCCATCATGGGTTGGAGCAGGGCTGGCCAGGAGGTCCTGCCGCCTCGTTCCTCCCTGCTGGGAGAGCTGCTCGGGCACTCTTGCTGACTGCCTCAGGCTCCCACTCACCTTCGTTGAGTTCGTGCTGCCCCTGTCCCTTGCAGCGTGGGGGGAGACCCTTGGAGGATGCTAATAGTAAAGATAACTATTATTTTTTCAGCTTTTCATGCTACTCCTAATGTGTACAAACGAAAGAATAGAGAGACCAAGATCGAGCCAGATCCTTGTGGAGCAGACTGTTTCCTCTGGCTGGTATGTTTCTGTGTTGCTGCTTTTGTAACCACGAGAGAAGTAGCCTGGCCAGCCCTGCTCTGCAGAACTCTGTGGGTCCTTTTCACAACTTTGATTTTTCAGAATTGGTTCTAATCCTCATTGGATTCGGGGGACCATGAATCCAAATACAGACCTTACCAGATGCATATTTTAGCAAATCTCCAACAAAGACTAATTTCATGGCTAGCAGATGGGAAATTGTGGTGACAAATGATTTCTCTGGACTCAGTGCAGCATTTGAAAAATGAAGCCCAGGTTCAAAATGCTGGGGAGGGAATCTAGTGTATGTGGGGAAGGCTCAAACTATTTTAAAAATGATCCTTCAGAAATACAGCCTAGCTGTGTTACCAGGGGTGAGAGCTGCAGATC